GGGAACCTAGCTCTAGAAGTGAACTTGCCCCCCCTATATCGGAACCAAATGTGTTTGTCTCAAAGTGTTCTGCAAGTCTTCTTCTGCGGAGGGGAGGCTGCTCCCCCACCGCTGTGTTGTGCCATTGAGAAAGGCGAGAAGATAAACTACGTCTGACACACATTACTGTTGTTCACCCTGTGGCATTACAAATCCCTGCAGCAGGAAAGAGAAACTGGACACTTGGCCATGGCAAGGAAACTCTATTAGGAACTGAAGCTGACTGCTTCCACTGACCTGGGCAGTCTCTGCAGAGGTTGTGCACCCTGGTTTGATGAGGTGATCTCTCTCTCTCTCTCTCACTATTTGTTCTTTACCTGAGCAGACACTCCGAGCTGCCCCGGACTCCACTGGAAATTCCAGCTGACTGCCAACATGACTTGGTTAGCCAGTTTCTGCTGGATGTTTTGAGTGCCCGTTTAATCATATATTCTCTCCCCTTCCCTTCCGCTCCCCGTCTTCCTTCCTCTCCCTTTTCTTGCCCCCCCCCCACTCTGTGTCTGTCTTGCTATTTATTCTTTTACTTTGGCTTGCTATATACTTAATACATTCACTCAGAGCAAGCTAAAAATTTGGCTTTTGTTCATCATTTTCCACACCATACAACACACAGCCAGCCTAGTGAGCATAAAATGATTTCTTATCATGGTTTTCTTATACATGATAACATTAAGCATCCTTTCCTATCCACATCGACCATCTGCAGATTTTTGGCAAAATGTGTATTCAAGTCAACTTAAATGTGAGTAGGTTTACAAAGTACTTTACTGCAGAGAAAACAATGTAGTAACTAGTAACTAGTGACAACACCATCAAAAATTATGATAATCACAAGGAGACTGTGGTTCTGGCCTACTAAACCTCACTCTACATTTGTGCCTTAAGTTACATTCATAATAAATTAACTTAAGGACAGAAATTTGGAAAGTCTCAATTCTACCTTGGATCCGTTTAATCACTTGTTCATTGATGTATGTGTTTACTGTTGTTAAAAATAGGATTCTTTCAACTATTTTACTTCTCTCCACATAAAAATAGGGTTCTCAAATAAGTTAGCATATAGGGGACCCGTTTACATGAATCCGTGCCACACTTTGGAATGGCATCTCCTTCTACTATACTGGGACCTAGTGGGTATCTGCTCTGGGAGTCTCCTTATCTTTATCAGTCCAAGTGTCTTCAGTCATTCTTCCTCTGTCTGCCTGTCTCCAGGCCCCCTCCTAACCCTTTACACTGCATCCCTTTGGATCCAAACAGAGAAGAGAAAGACCACCGTGCTGAGAGACATGTACCATGCCTTTCAAGGGCTTTGAGATATTAACCTTATCTGTTCTGTTTGAGTGATGCTGAAATACAGTTGCAGCAGCTAGATATGACATCTTTGGACAGGACACATCTTAGACAGATGGAGTGTTCATGGAAGGACCTGATGGTGCTGGGCTGTAACTAACATCAGTATCTTATTCTTGCCACAAATTAGTTTCTCCCCAAACCTTACTTGGACTTCAGCGTATCTCAGTGACAGCTGCAAGGACATTATGTATGTTTGGTTTTAGTTGTCGAGCTAAATAAAAAAGCAGCACAGCGCTATCAACCGATGCTGTGCCTGACCAAGACTTCAAGAGATACAACCTGGGGCAATAATTAAATCTAGTCTTTCATAATATATCAAATCCCATGAGCAGCAAAGGATAAAGAAAGCCCTGGGTGGGCTTTGAGGAGCTCTAAGTTGCCCGCAGACGCAGAATTCTGCCTCCTGAGATAGAGTCGACTCAGTTGCAGGAGTGGCGATTTCTCCAAGGCCATTCCAATGTGGAGGGGCTCCCTGTTCTGTAAGCGGCTACCCATTCCTGGTCTCTGCAGATTTTAATCTCCTTACTCTGAAACACTTTTTAATTATGGTTTAAAAGTTTGTGTTATCATTGTCTGGCAGTCTGATTTCTCTATCGTGTCCTTTTTAAAGACTATCTTATTTTTTCTTCTGTAGTTAATTACTGTGAGTTTAGCTGTAATTATTTACACTGTGTTGGTGAATAGTGCTAGCTGTCACACACACACACCTATACATGCATGCACACGCACACACACACACACACACACACACACGCACACGCACACACGCACACACGCACACACGCACGCACGGAATTTCTAGAATGTCCTGAATGTCATAGACTCCACTGGGTATAATGTGCATGAGACAATTTCTTGAGACAGACAGGATATTTTCCACAGCATGTATAGAAAAGCTCAAAGAATTCTAGAAGCCAGCTTACAGATTCATGATTTGCATATACCTACATGAAACCCCAAACGTTAGGTTTTTTTTTCTCCCAAATTTCTTGACTCTTAGACTAAAGCACTTTGTAAGGGAGTTAGAAGAGTGTGACTGAGACAAAGATGGGTGTCATCAAAGTGATAAATGTACCCATCAGCTCATGTACTTGGGGAAACACTAACCAAACAACTCAAAGACCTGTATTTCAAGAACTTTAAGTCTTTAAAGAAATTGAAATTACCAAAAAAAAAAAAAAGGAAAAATCTCCCATTCTCTTAGATAGGTAGGATTAACATAGTAAAACTAGCAATCTTACCAAAAGCAATCTGCAGATTCAATGCAATCCCCACCAAAATCCTGGAACAATTCTTCACAGACGTTGAAAAGAACAATTCTCAACTTTGTATGGAAAACAAAACCCCAGTATTTATCCCTAGTGCATAAATAGGCTTTGGGAGCCCATTCCCTATGGAGGGATATTCTCTCAGCCTAGACACATAGGGGAGGGCCCTAGGTCCTATCCCAAATGATGTGACAGACTTTGATGATCCCCTGGGAGTCCTCACCCTGCCTGAGGAGTGGATGGACAGTAGGATCGTAGGATTGGGTGTTGGTTGGGGGAATGGGAGGATAGAGAGAGGGAACTGGAATTGGTATGTAAAATAAGATTGATTTAATTTAAATAAATTTTATAATAAAACAACAAAATTTCATTTTAAGAGCTAATGTATCCTACTGAAGCTATGGGGGGGGGGAGTAGGGAAGGTAACGTAATATTTTTCTCTGCTTCATAGAAACAGCTTTCAACATTATATTCTCAAAAGAATATTTAATTGACTTTTAAGCAATAGTAAGAAACTTCCTTTCTTTTTATTGCAAGTTTTCCTAAGATATCTTAATATGTCTTACATATGCAAAAAGATGTCACAAATAATAACATTTTTGGTGATGGATTTTAATGAATCCTACCAAATATTCAAGGAATAGTCTACAAACATGAAGAATATGGATTGTAAATGATGAATAAATATGTTAATTATTTATATCCAAACTTGATACTATGCATTATCTATGAGTATGAACATTAAAAATAAACATTTCACATTATACTGAAATACATGTTGTAAGTTGATACAAATTAATAGGCACTAGATGTTATACAAACTTCCACATGGAAAGATGATTTTAAAAAATTAAGAGACTACTATGGGAAAACTATTACAAAATGAAATTAGTTAGAGTATGTTTAGAAAGACTTGTCAACCCACAGATCACTGAATGAAGAAACCAGAATTTGTGAGCAAGTGAGGTCACAAGAGATGAAAACTAGCCTATGTCCATAGCTCATCCAGTCAAAAGCAGAAGGAGGAAAGAAACTGAATGTAAAGACTGTGTAGAGGAAACTTTGAAAAAAAGCATGAATGAAATAGAGAAGTTGTCAGTTATGCCACAGGGAGCCAAATGCCTCCTGCTGGGTTTCCAACATGAAATGATCAAACATTTCATTCTCATTTTCCAACATGAAATGATGAAGCATTTCATTCTTATTTTCCAACATGAAATGATCAAACATTTCATTCTCAGGTATTCTAGCGCTTTATCACGTTGTTTTGTATCCCAAAAAATAGAATCATCCTTTTCAGTATCCTCCTCATCCTCACTAGAATTAGAAGAGACCGGCTGGAAGGCCCCGATTAGAGTCATATTTGCAGCAATTTCAACCAGTTCCTGCCTGCTATATGCCACTAACACCTTCTTCGTGGGTCCTTCAATCTCAACATACCCCCAGTATTTGCCTGCCCTATGTTAGGCCTAATCAAGTGGGAAAATTTTAAATTCAGAATCTTTCAGATTTATTCTGCATTAGTCAAGTGTTAACTGCTTCTTTTTTCTTACTAAAACTGGGAACACTCATCAGAAACACATATACATGGATGCATAAATATGTACATGATCATGTGTACATACATAGTCTTGCACATGTTAAGAGAAAAAAAGGAATGAGGTTCCCATTACACAAGTTTTTCACCCCTCTTCTTCAGCTAAATAGACAGTGTAACACAATGCATTTTAGTGATTGGCATAATATTTGTGATCATTGACATATGACTTGGATGGCAGGAAAAGCTTCCCAGGGTCATAGTCAAGATGAGTGTTGAATATGAGTTTGAAAGGAATCAAGCATTCATTTCCAGGCAGACACTACAGGCTTGGTGAAGACACTGAAGCATGACATTGGCAGTATAGACTTTGGTCTTCCAAGGAATTGCAGATTGTTGGGTTTCAGAGTGAAGCAATAGTGGGAGAAAGACTACAACTGTGGGTAGACACCGTACATAATTAGTGAGGTCATGTTCATTCCCCCTTGATTGTATACTTCCTTTAAGGGTAGTCAAGCACATGTTTGTTTTTGCACAGTCTCTAATAACAACACACAGAGAGGGGTGAGGGAGGGGTAGAGAGAGAATGTAAAAATATAAGAGTGGCTCTCTCTCATCTTTCTCTCTCTCTTCTCATCTTCCCTTACTCTCTCATCTTCTCTCTCATCTCATCCTCTCTCATCTCTTCTCTCCCATCTTCCCCTCTCTCTCTCTTTCTCTCTCTCATCTCATCCTCTCTCATCTCTTCTCTCCCATCTTCCTCTCTCTCTCTGTCTCTCTCTGTCTCTCTCTGTCTCTCTCTCTCTCTCTCTCTCTCTCTGTCTGTCTTCCCCCCTTTTAGTCTCCCTATAATAAACTATTGGTTAATATGCTCAAGAAAAAAATATGACTGAAAACACAGAATCAGTCATATATAAGTCAGGAATGCAAAGGTGAAGCTGAAGCCAGTTTTGCAAAATGAAGCTGATTTTCAGTTGCTTTCTGAGAAATGAGGCTCGTTCCTTTCAATTACAACGGAGAAATGACTGTCTGAAAGATCACATCCTGTAACGAAGATGAAGCTATCAAATGCCACTGTCGCCTCCTATAATTTGAGAACCCCACTGTGCTTTATCAGTTTACCACGTCCTGAGTCTGCTTCCTGCTTTTTCCAGGGAGTGTTCACTGTCTGCCCCTCCTGATGGAACAGCTCACGCTCTGCCTCCCCCACTTGAACCATCAACCTCTCTCCATTTGCCCTCCAGCTTCACTATTGATGGTGAATCCAGAAAACCTGGAACCTGGTCCCAAAGCCATCTGTAGCTTCTGAAACATCAATGCACAAAGCACCAGTCCCTTTTCCCATGAAGGCATGGGAGGGCAAGGGCATCATTATAAACACAAATTAAGGAAGGTTGTTCTATTGAAATGCTATCAATGAATCAATGTGGATGGCTGTTTTATTTTCAAAATATGTCCTCATTTTTTCCCTATTCCCTGAGACATGGCTTGGGAAGAAGAAACATCCTCCAAAACCTGGGTTTTCTGGGTCATCTCTGTGACAGTGTCTTCAATTGTAAACAATTGGTACCATTCCACTATTCCTCCCTGAAGGGCTACCACAGGATTCTGTATAATCATGAAATTTCTTTTGGACTCAAAGATTGACTAAATCCTTTCTGTCTCAATGTATATTATCCTAGACACACATAATGGTACTTCTAATCATTTATCATACACTTCACATTTCTTCTTAGTCACTTCTCCTTCTGGCAACTCTTATATTGGAGAGATTTTTAAATGTCTTCTAATGACTACAGAAACCTAAAATCATATTCAAAAGATATCTTAAAGTTCAGTAGTCAAAAAATAGGAAAAACAAGTAACTGCTTTTGAGAAGTACTAATACACCTAGGAAAAGCTTATTTGGTTAAAGTAAAAGATTACACTGTGTCTGATTAAACATTTATATCATGTCAGTTACTCTTGAAATTATTGTGGTCAAATACATGACAGAAATGACTTCAAGGAGGAGGGATTTATTGAGGCTCATGATCTCAAAGGTATCAGTCCATCCATCATGATTGGAAGGGCATAACTGGGCAGAGCTGTTTGGCCACAGTATGGTTGGTCTGGAAGCAGAGAGAAGAATGCTGCCATTCAGGTGGTATTCTCTTTAGTATTTTCTCTGGGTACCCAGCCCATGTATGGTTACCACCCACAGCCATTCCCCCATTCAATTATTCTCTGGAAATACCATCACCAACACACCTGCAGTCTCCTAGATGGTAATCAATAGGCAAGTTGAAAATGAAGATTATCCATTACACATAGCTCAAAGCTGTTTGAAGCAATCCAACTCTTTTATCTTCATGCCATCTTTTCATGAAGATATTCCTACTGTTTAATTGCCTTTAAAGTGTTTTGAAAATATCAAGTACTTTATGGAGTATTGTAGCTGAATTCTTTCTCTGTCCCACCAGCCAGCTCTCAAATAATGACACAGAGACTAATTATCAATTATGAAAGCTCTACCTTAACGTAGGCTTGCCCCACTAGCTCTTTTAATTTAATTTAACCTGTTCTATTCATCTACTTTTGCCTAGGGGTATTTTACCTTTCTTTCATTCTGTAAGTTCTATGTTGCTGCTTCCTTCATGTCTGATTGACTGGCCCCTGGCATCTCCATGGTATCTCTTTTTCTTTCTTTCCCTGAGCCTAAATCCCTCCTCCTACTTAATCTCCCTGACTAGAAATCCTACCTATACTCCTCCCTCACTATTGGGTGTTCAGATTTTTATTAGATCACTCAGGTGTCTTAGGCAGGCAAGGTAAAACAGCAATATATCTTTATGTAATTAAACAAATGCAACACATCTTTGCATAGTTAAATAAATCTTACATTTCCCCGTTTTGTCTAAATGAAAAGAAATGGTTTACCTTTAACATAGTAAGATTATATACAATAAGAACAATTATAAGAATTGCATTTATAATATCCAATTCATTTGTATTTAACGAATTCCGTGAAAATGCTCCATTATCTATCCTATTTCTGTGAATCCAAAGTTGTGTACCTAATTTACATTCTATCCTAACTTGTATTAATAACCCAAAATTATCTTTTTAGACCTTAAAACATTTTTTAGATAAACAATCTAAGCTTTTATGTTTCTCAACCTTGTAAACTTTACATCTCTTATATGGGTTTCCTTTATAATTTGGTAACAAGGAAAACTCTAATTATAACTTTCTTGTCTTCAGCTCCATCGGAGACCTGAGTAGGGAGTAGGATATAACATTTCCAGGATAAACATATATACAATATAACAAAAATAACTTCAAATTTATATCAACATATCAAAATCCATACCAATGTAAAATATTTGAGATTCATAGTTCTTTTTATTCTATATTCTGATATCCCCCTTAAATGATGACAAACATTCATAACCAACCAAATGGCTAAAAACCACCTACCTTACCTCTTGGGAATGTGGCTATTGTATTTTCTAGACTGCTTACTGTTGTCTGAGGGTGACACCATATTCAGGGTACCCTGAGAAAATTGAGATAATGATCAAATCCTGGGAAAACTAGTTGTAACATTTGTTGTTCAGTCACAGAACTGTTCCCATGCAGAGGGATCAGAATATACATTGTCAGTCTTGTAGTTTTTCTTGGTTTACTGTTTTATGTCTATAGCCAAGATTTTCAGGAGATCTCCCCAAATCAAATCTGATCTCTATTAACCTTGAAGAAATACACAGCTTTTCATTTCCTGTGGAAACAAAAGCATAATCTCTCCCCCAATGCAATACATTTTCTGACTTCAATTTTAAAGTTAAGTCATCCATAAAGTACCTAGGCTGGTTTAATTTAGCAGTTAGTTCCTTTTACAGTTTCATGTCCCTCAGCAGCTGCTATTCACTCATCAGCATGCAAAAATTTCAAAGTCAACACAGCACCATACAGGACCCAAACTCCCTGAGTAGTCCCATCTTTAAGTGACTTATTCCTTTTGTATCACTTTAGTTTCTTTAAAGACTTTAAATATTTTTACGCTATTTATTTTTTTCTTGTAACTGTCTATACCCATTTTCTTTTCTTTCGTAAGCACCTATCCACATCGTGACCTGTTTAAAGGTTGGTTGGTTGGTTGGTTTGTTGACTGATTGCTCGGTCTGACCCATTTTACTGTGCACCTGTAGCATTCTCTGACTGCATGAGCCAAACCTTAACCTGCTAAGGCATCTAGGCCCTCCACCATGTGGCCCTGGCAGTTTGCTTTAGCCCATAGGCCTGGCTGAGAGCTGTTGCTAATGGGGAGCTGCGTTCAACCAAAAGCTACATTTAACTGCCCCAGCTCTAGGAAGTTGGTGCCCACACCATGGCAGGTGTTTTTACTTACCTTGCTGTTGCTGCTTAGCTTGCCGGTTGCTTAAGTGCTCTGCTCTGCTGCACAGCAATGCCTCTAAAAGAAGCCGTGTCCATTGTTTTTAGTTTTGTTTTGTTTTTCAACCTTCTCAGGTCCTATGAGGAAACTTAGGCCCCATTTTGGGTACCAAATATAGCTGAGGTCTTTCTCTGTCCCACCAGCCAGTTCCCAAATAATGACACAGAGACTTCTTATTATATATGAAAGTTAGGCCTTAGCTTAGGCTTGTCCCACTAGATCTTTTAACTTAATTTAACCTGCTCTACTCATCTACTTTTGCCTAGGGGCCTTTTACCTTTCCTTCATTCTGTGAGTCCTACTTTCCTGCTTCCTCCATGCCTGTCTGTCTGGAACCCTGGCATCTTCTTGGCATCTCTTTTTCTTTCCCTGAGACTAAATCCCTCCTCCTACTTACTCTCCCTGCCAGGAAGTCCCACCTATGCCTCCTCTCTCACTACTGGCCTTTCATCTTTTTATTAGCTCAATCAGGTGCCTTAGGCCGGCAAGATAAAACAGCAACACATCTTTACATAATTAAGCAAAACAGAACCCATGTTTACATAGTTACATAAATGCAACACCTCAGTGGTACAGTATTTGCCTAACAGAGGCAAGGCCCTAAAGTTGATTTCTCAGGACCACCAAATAAAAATCACAATTAAGTATCATCTGTAGTCCTTTTCAACTATCAACCACCAATTCACTGGCTCTCCATTGTTGCCTTCTGAGACAAGTTAGAACTTATTCGCTATGAATCAAGTACTAGTTTTAAACAGTGATGCTAATCTCCCTACAGTTTTCAATGGAGGGACACCAATCCATCAGCCATTGTCTGTGTTTATAAAGATACTCAAGTCATTGAGCTACAGCCCCAGTCCAGTCAAGTTGTAGGGACTGGATTCTAAGCTGTAGCCTAATCCATGCTAGGTAAATACTGTATCACTGAGACACACTCTCAGCCCAGCTTGATTGTGTTACCGTTGTTGTCATGTATTGGTTTGGTTGCTTGACTTTTTTGTGGGACTGAAAAGGCCTCACACTTGCTAGATAATCCCTCATCACTGTGCCACACCACACCCCAGGTCATAGTGTTCCTTGCTGTCAAAGTGAAACGTACTGCAAAGACATGAGAGTGGACAGGTACAGTTTTTCTGGATCAGAGAAAAAAACAACTAAATGTAATACTCAAATTCCTATCAGTAATAATGAAACGGAATACCTGAAACGGTAAAGGAATGTGCACTCCTACTGTCGTCATAATTTGATGGCTCACAGAGTAAACCCTGGAACAGCAGTTGGTCTTCATCTTTTCTCTTGTTGTGAATGCTTTATGCTCCCTGCACTCTTTCTTCCACCAAAGCAGTCCTTACATTGTGCACTGTGGTTTTGGACAGGCTTCCCCGGGGGCTCGGGAGTTGGATGAGGTGTTTTGCCTATGTATCTCACTCTGGCCCACTTCGTATCGGCCCTCTGAGATAGGATGAGCGGAACTGCGTCCTAAAGTTCCTGTGCTTCGATTCTTAAACACAACCTGACCAGACCGCATTCAGAGACAATGAGTTTACAAAGGTCAGCAAAGTGAAGGAGGGCATAAGGGTGTGGCCCTAATCTGGAATGACTGGTGCGTACAATTGGAGAGCTGTTGTGCACGTACAGAAGAAAGAAAAGGCCTCACCAGAAGCCAATCCTGGCTGGCACTACCTTGGCTTTGGACTCGGGGCGATCCGAACTCTAAGAACACAGTTTTTTGTTGCTCAATCCACTCTGTCTATGGTATTTCTTATGGTCAATACCACAAGGCCAAATTGGCTGATCCAGGAAGCAGGAGAGGGACCCGAAGGAAGAAAAGTTGAGCTGCAATGGTGTTACAGAAATTAAAATGGGGGCCGGTGGACTAAGTCTTTGAAAGTCAGGGCCTGGACTCTGCATAACTCTTCATTCCTAGCCCTGGGGGCTTTCATCAATCTTCATCTGGGCAACTGAGCTCAGACAGAAAGTAGCCGATGACTGAGATTCCCCGTGGAGCAGCCCGGCTGCACATCCAACTCCTCAGTCACAGCGTGGCCACACCGTCCCCTCAGGACCATCCACTTTGCCCCTTCTCTACCCGAAGAAGGCAGGAAGACATTAACAGCATTCACAGCGTGGGACTAAACTCATGGCAGACCTTTTCTGATCAGAATAAGGTTTCCTACACAATTTTTTGGTACCGATGAATCCCAAAATGCTGTAGCGTGCATTTTTTAAAAAATTTAATAAATACTAAAAATTAGCTGTTAAGTCTCCTGACAGAGCTCCTGCTCTCTGACAGCCTGCCTTTGAAACAAGATTCTAGTTGAAACTACTTTTCAAAAGCCAGGCCATTTTTTTCCCTCTCTCCAAACATAAAATTTGTGGAACGGGATCACGTTGGCCCTGTGACTACCCTTGACTCAGCAGCATCATGGCAGGGGCTGTGATTTTTATGGAGCACGACATCAGCAGTAAGGTCGACATCCTAGGCAGGGATGCTCAGAAAGACCCCCAGGTCAACCAGAGCGGCCACAGACTGAAGTCCATCCCACAGACTTCACCAGGCTTCTAAATCAGGTATCATGGAGAACACATGGGAGAATGGGTGTGGCCGGCTATTTTTAACAACCTGGCAAAGAAAGAAAAGATTCCTTCTATGAAGGAATCCAAGGAACCCTTTTGGGAATATAACTCAAGCTACCCTCAAAAAACCTTTCTTCAGAGCAACAGTTTTTGTTTGAGGGAGAATTAAAAATAAAACTGTGCTGAAAAGCAGCAACAAAAGCTGTTGTGGCTCCATGCTTAGGGATGAGAGATGGAAACTACAGTCCTGGGATGCGGGGCAGCAGGAGGGGCTGGAGTGTTGGCTTTGCAAGCGAGATGCAGTCTGTGAGGAACTCCTGAGAGAAAAAGGTGGAAGGTACGTTGAGAGGAATTAAAGCAGAAATGAGGACCTCATAGCAGGCGTTCACCAATGAGCTCCATTATATCTAATCACAGATGAAACACACATGAGAGAGAGACAGAGAGAGGTGACTTCTCAGACAGCTTCATGAGAATGGGAGATGAGGGTTCAGGGCAGGGAAGGAAAGGGGAATGTGTTGGCTCTCTTCCAAATTAACCATCACTTCCAACTTCATGTCCAGATGATTACATAGCAGGCCACCGATTCCCTCAGCCACGGGGTTGTGCTACATGATTAAAGATGGCCAAAGTGGAGGCCCTGGCTCTGCTAACTCTACTCAGTGTGACTCAGCTGCAGCCTGTGCCTGCCAGCCCTCACGTAAGAATGCCCCCCATATTGCCACTCAACGTGATTTTTATAGAAACATCAGAAATAAAGATTTTTATATAAAATATCCTTTTTGTAGTGATACTACTTTTTTTATTTACAAGCACTTTATGAGCAAATTAAGGACTGTCTGTGAGCTAAATTTGCTTTCTCTATCACTAATCAGTCTGTCTTTTTCATTAGACCACCTCTAGGGTTCCCCAAACCGCTGGATGCCAAGTCAGTGAGTTCCTAGTTCATTCTCTTCTGTCTTATAATTGCCCTGGACAAGAGCTTTCCAAATCGTACATGCGCATTGCCTATCTGGGGAATTTCAGATGGTTCAGCCCTACATTCCACGTTTTCTGTACTCTTTCCCAGGCTTCACTTGATAAAGATTTCACCATGAACTTGCAAGGAGAAGCTTCAGCTCCCCAAACTGGAAAAGTCCCGTGTATTCCTCTACAGATAAAATTTGTTCATCTCTTCATTCTCAAACATAGTCCCTCCCTTCTTCCTTGTAACCAAATGCTTCATCTTCAGATCCCTCAAAGCATCACTCACAGGCTGCTGAGACTGCTCAGCCGGCAAGGGCACTTCCTGCTGAGGCAGATGACCTGAGAGACTCCACTGTGGGAGGGGAGAACTGACTCCCTAGAGTTGCCCTCTGATCTCCACATATGAGCTATCCCCGACACTCCCCCGCCTCCACACACAAAAAAATAACAAATCAATGTTTAAAATCATCGCTTTTTTTTTACATCCTTTATTTTGGTGAGGTCCCTTTCATGCGCAATTAAATACATTTGTTCCTCCATAGTCATGGGAATGAGTTTGGGGACCCCTTGCAGATAGGGCAATCCTCAGTGCTTTCGACACAAGCTGCACAATTCCTCCCAGATACGTCAAATCATCTCTGTTATTTATAATACCCAACAATCTAAAAGTTGTAGAAATAATTGCAAGGCTATGTTGTTCAGGGAATAACAACAAGAAAAAGTTGCGTGTGTGTGTGTGTGTGTGTGTGTGTGTGTGTGTGTGTGTGTGTGTGTGTTCAGCACAAAAGTACACAGCCCCCTAATATTTTCCTTACTCAGTCCATTGACTCCACAGACGCAGAACACATCATCTCAGAGGGCTGCCTGAACCTTCAAGCTATCCTTCATGAATCTTCTGGCATGTCTTTTCCAAGCCATAGCTCATACGATTTGGGGGAGTTTTGCAGCAGTTTCTTCCACTCAACCCTGAAAGTTTAACACAGAGATTAACAAATCCTTTCTGAAAAGGGCCAAACAGTAAATATTTTTGACTTTATGGGCCTTATGATCTCTGTGACAACCACCCAGATCTGCTCTTGTACTAGACAGCAACCAGCTATGGACAGGATGGAAGCCATGTGCTCATAAAACTCAATTACAAAAACCATGGATGGCCAGCTTGGTTCAAGGGCTGAGGTTTGCCAACGCCGAATCTGTAAGACAAGGGGTGGGGGGTGTTCTTGCAATTAATCTTAGAACTGATGCTGATGTTTGTTTTAAAAGTAACCTCTCAGAACTCAATTCAAGTTTCTTCCATACACTTTCCTTGAACTCAAGGACATGACAGGATGTTTTTCTTTGTGGGTGTGTGTTCGTGTGTTCACACATGAGGGTATGCAAACACGTGAGTGTACATGAATGTCGGTCAGAGAATAATTTTGGATGCCATTTTCAGCACCTGTGTACCTTTATTTTTGAGATACGGCCTCTGAGTGTCCTGGAGATTAGCTCACAGTCTGGCTGGCCAATGACCCTCAGGGATCTGTCTGTGTCTCCCTCCTCCCCGGCACTGTGACTACAAGCATGCACCACCTGCCCCGATTCCCCTCCTGAGCTACGGGTTGAAACCAGGTCCCTATGCTTGCAAGGCAAACACCTTACCTGTGGAGTCTTCTCTCCAGTGCACAACAGGATTTTTCAGCTTCTGGCTGTCTACAAGTATGTGTTGTCTAGGTGTATCACACGATGGTCACTATCATTGAGTGACAGTCATTCAATACTTCTAGGTCGAGTAAAGGTTGATGAACACAATTAGAGCCTCTTGTTTTGAAACCCTGGGAATGAACTGTCTTTTCACTGCTACCTACTTGAGAGTTTTGGCTCCCTGCCCCTTGGGTAATTA